GGGGAACCAGGCCCCCTGCCGAGCAGAGAGCCCAATGCAAGGCTCAATCCCAGGACCCTGAGATCATGACCTGAGCTGAAGGCACAGGCTTACCCCACTGAGCCACCCAGGCACCAGATGCTTTATCTATTTTAATGTATTTAATATCCTTAATTATCTGTGTTAGTGCTAATGTTATTGTCCTTTTACTGGCAGAAATGGTTCAGATACAAGAAGGCTGAGTGAATATCTCAATATTGGTAGAGTCCGGGTTTGACCCTGCATAACCTGCACATCAACACGAGGCACCCAGGTCAAATGCTCTTCCAGAAGGTGACCTGTGCTTGCATTCTTTTTCATCTTTCACACTCAGTGATTGAACCAGAAGCCCTCACATGGAACAGGTTCTGTGAACTGGGACTTCAAAGTGAAAATTCCAGCTCAAGCCACACACATGTAGCCTGAGTGGCTTTCCGTTTGCTACTTAAGAACCAGACACAGAGGTCAGGTGTCCAAGGTCAAAACACAGGGAAGGCCCAGCACACACAGGAGTCCACTTTCACACCTAGAGAACCAGGATTATGGACCTGTCCCCTGACGACATTTTGCATAGGCTAATACCCTTCCTGAGGCACTGAGCTCTAAATGTGTCCCCAGACACCGGTTCTCAGCATCTGTTCCCTGGACAGGGACCTGAGAATGCGTAAGAAAAGAAGTTCAGGAGTTACACCCCAGACTTATTTACATGGTAATATAGGGATAGGCAAAGCAATCCAAGATTTCAAACTGTCCTGGTGATTCTGATGCAGGCAAAATCCGATTACCTCTGAAGGAAATGTCATGGGTCATCCCAGAGTTATCCACAGATAAGTCCCTCTTAGAATCCCTCTATGCTTGTGATGATGCTACTGTTGTGACATACACTTAGACAACTCACACACAACATACACAACACACATTTTCTTTTTTCATAAATTAATCTGACTCTAACGAAGTCTATCTTGGCTTCCTTCTTTTCCATCTCTGCTTTCTCTCAATACTCTCCTTGAGCTTTCTGGGATCACCCCAAACACACCTCTGGTCCCATTCTTGAATAAAGGCAATATAATTAAAATGAAGGGGCACTTATGTAAATATTTTATCAACTAAGTTATGAAATGCACACGACACATCGATACCTGTCATGTATTATATTGGGATGGCATACAGCATTTTCACTGTAAATCTGTAGATGATGATTTTTACCATTAGACCATAAATAACTGCAGGCTTAAGGAGGTCATCGGCATTCAATTTGCATGCAGCATAAAATCCCTGAGCATTAAGATTAAGGATGCTCTAAATTTTAGCACCTTTTTAAAAAACAGGTTCAGTGCAAAGTGTGACTACCTTTCTCTCAGATGCTGTGAACCAGTTCACAGAACAAGAGCCATTTGCAAACATCTCTATGTCCACCTGTGCTACACTTCCACATTTTCTACTTAGACTGGCTCCTATGACAGAGTTCTGGTCAAGGGCATGGCGGGAGTAGGCCTTGGGGAGGATGGCCTTTCCTGAATGAACACAAAGAGGCATCAATTCAAAATTTCTTAAGTGGAACCAGACTTACACTGTCTCCTTTGCTGCCTTCTACATGGAATGATGCCGTGTGTGTGTGGTGGGGGGGAGCAGGTATCTTTGGGCCAGGACAGAGCTTGTATGAACAAAATGCCTAGGGAAGACCATACCGCAGAGAAGAAATAAAAGATGAGAGGGCACTCTAGTGTGTCTGAGCCATTCTATCAGGCCTGAGCACCTATCTACTCACTGTGTACATAAAACAAAATACACATCTTCTTTTCTATGCATACACATCAGTCTTTTTTTTAAAATTTAGTTCAACTTTTTAAAAGATTTTATTTATTTATTTGACAGAGAGATCACAAGTAGGTAGAGAGGCAGGCAGAGAGAGAGAGGGGGATGCAGGCTCCCTGTCGAGCAGGGAGCCTTATGTGGGGCTCAATCCCAGGACCCTGAGATCATAATCTGAGTGGAAGGCAGAGGCTTAACCCACTGAGCCACCCAGGCACCCTGAAATCTCTACATTTTCACCTAATCAAACTGTTACAGTGAAGTGAGCAACCTGGATGACGTCAGTTCCAAGAAAGGAAAAGAATAGCAGCTCAAAAAATCTTACTTCTCCAATAACAGAGGGAAGAGTGAATGTTATCAATTAAACTACATGGAATGTAAAGTGCTCCCTGGAGAATTACTCCCATGTGCACATTAAATTCTGAACACCAAGTCATTTCATGCAAACTGGTCTTAAAATCCTTGAGATTTTAAGATTATGCAGATTGGAAGAAGAGCAGCAGAGTGGATCCTACACGAGTTAACACCCAGGTACACAAGATATGATTTACATGCGGAGAGTCTCAAACCAAGATACTGGAGATTTAGGAACTATAAGTTCTGTACTATTCCTAACATGAATATACAATACTTCTGCTTGCCAGGAAATCATCAATTTTGAAACCTGGAAATGTGCTCCTCAGAACCAATATTCCTTTTCCTTCTGAAGACACAGGTGTGATACACACGTACATGTGCTTCCTCCTAGTTGGTGCTGTTACTCGAAAATCTATCTTTAGGGAGCCTGGGTGGCTCAGTGGGTTAACCCTCTGCTATTGACACGGGTGGTGATCTCAGGGTCTTGGGATCCAGCCCTGCGTTGGGCTCTCTGTTCAGCGGGGAGTCTGCTTCCCTCTCTCCCTCTGCCTGCCTCTCTCCCTACTTGTGATCTCTCTCTGTCAAAAAAATAAATAAAATCTTTAAAAAAAATACTTTCAGTTCAAGAAAGTGTTTCTCTCATGCAAGGAAAATATAAATTCACCAATAGATGATGAAATGAATTCTATTATTATGACAACTCCACAGACATGATACAACATACACTGACCACTGACCAACAAAGTACACAAGAGGAGTAACATATTATGTATGCATAATATTGATACAGACCAATGCATACATAATTTTATTGGCAAAGGGCCTAAAAGTGATTTAGATTTGAGGTAAACTCACATTGTCTTAAAATCTATTGAGTTAAAAATTGTCACCATATAATAAAACACACAGATAAAAAGGAAACCCAAATGACTTTGTGATATGGGAAGTCCAAGACAAAAAGAAGCACATGATTATGGAATTGCAAAACCAGAGTAAGTCCAAATTTAATCCAAAACATTTTACATAAAAAAGGATGAGTTATTTAAAAGGAAAACCACCGTGTAACTGTATTTTATTTTAATTTACTTGACAGACAGAGATCACAAGTAGGCAGAGAGGCAATCAGAGATCCTGATGTGGGGCTCGATCCCAGGACCCTGAGATCATGACCTGAGCCTAAGACAGAGGCTTTAACCCACTGAGCCACCCAGGTGCCCCCGTGTAACTGTATTTTTAAACTGTGACTGTGACCCCATAAAAAACAAGCACTGGAATTATTGGCATGTCTTCATGGACCGTCAAATTGCAATGAATAGTCATTAATATCAACCAGAAAAACATCTAATGAAAAATTTTACCAATAAGGACTTACAAGACATTAAAAATGTATCATGTTATTAACAGAATCCTCTTTTGATGCAGAATGTATAATTCATTCTGTAGAACAGCAAGCAAAATCCTTTCATTTCCAGATGAACAATACCACCAACACTCTAAAATATACTGACAAAGACTTTACATAAGTATTTGGATGAATTCACGTATATTCTGAGGAGAGCAGAACAAAAATCTAATGACTGACCTTCCCTGATGTAAAATTACATTTATAAACAGAAGTTTTTCTTAAACATGGAGGCTGTACTAATTATCTACCTCACTTCTTATAAAGCACATGCCCATGTCCTATCAGGATTTGGGATCTAAAGAAACATCAGAAATGAATCTCGGGGCGCCTGGGTGGCTCAGTGGGTTAAGCCTCTGCCTTCGGCTCAGGTCATGATCTCAGGGACGTGGGATCGAGCCCTACATCGGGCTCTATGCTAGGTGAGGAGACGGCTTCCTCCTCTCTCTCTCTGCCTACTTGTGATCTCTGTCTGCCAAATAAATAAATAAAGTCTTAAAAAAAAATGAATCTCAACTACAACTAATTAAAAAATAAAAACAAACATGGCAAAGTCACAATAACTTCATATAAAATGAAATTATGAAATGATGCAATTATTAATAAATAAGGCAACAACTGAGATTGTATTATAGGCTACAAATGTTGAGTTCCAAATGTTCTAGCCCCCCCCCCCCCGTGGCATTATTTAGGTATGAATTCTAGGAATCAAACAGATACATTACATTACTTCACCACTGAGGAATGGAATACAGAGTGGAAAAATTTCTACTATTAGTTCATACAAAACTTACCTGGCAGGGGAGATACCAGGATCAAGTTCATATGAAGTAAAACCAACTTTTGAAGGGGAGTAAAGGATTAGAACTTGTCATTTCAGGGAGGTACTTTCTGATCTGATAATGCTACTGAGATTCAATTTTGTATAATTCAGATTAAAGCCTCCATAACATTGGAAAGCATAAATCAGAAAACATGAGATGTCTGTCTCCAGTGCTCCCAGCATTTCTGCACCAAATCCCATTATGCCCACCACTACCCTCACATGCATCTCACACGAGGTAAAACAGAACTTACAAAAGGCTCAACATTAAGGGTTTTAGAAATAAGTTGACTACCCTGGTCCCTCATGGCAATGGAGAAGCTCTCAGCTCATGGAGGCCTTCCCACTCCCAGGGCAGTTGCCTGGCCCTCACTGTGGATGCGGTAGACCAGCACTCCAGCTGAAGGAGAATCCCTAGAGAATGTAACAGCCTGATAATCTTGGATAGCAGATGTCCCTCAGTGAGAGGGAGACCAACACCACCAGGCTTCCCAAACTAATCTCCATTCAAGGAAATCGACTCAAACCACACTTTAAGGTCCATCATCCTCCTCCACGTTTGGACGTCACCTCTGTCACCCGCTTCATTCATTCCCACCTACCTGGATGGATGACTACTGTCTCCTTTCTTATCACATCCCAGAGCTGCTTCTTTTGTTCTAAAAAGGAGACAAAGTCTGGCTTGGATGTAATGAGGCCTGTTTTTTATAAAAAAAGAAAGTGAGTATTGCTGGAGATTCCTTCAATCACAGTTGTGCTCGGTAGAGAAGAGAGGAAACTGCAGAATTCTAGAAAAACATTTCCCACATCCTGTTGCCCAACAGCCCCTTTAGAACACACAGGAGGTACTTCCAACGTTCACGTCCTGACCTCCACTTCCAGGTACCACCTACACAACAGTGAGTGGAAACTGGAGTAGAAGACGTGGGCAGCACCATTTTATGCCACTCAGTGTTTAGAACAACCAGGAATCTACAGAAGTGATGAAGAAGGGGAAGCTAGAGCAGAAAAGGACACATCATGAAGATTTCTCTCTCCATATACAAATCCCAACTTATTTCCCTTTTTGCCTGGATGTGAATTCCAGTCACTCACAGAGGAATCTTCCAAGACATAGTCTTCACAGGAAGGAACAAAACCCAGAGTGGGGTCTGGAAATCTGGAAGGACTTATTCTTACCCAAGAAGACGAGGTGTCCGTAATTCTCTAACATCACATCCCTGTACAGTTGCCGCTGAGTGTGGGTCAGGCGTCCCCACTCCTCCTCAGAGAATTCTATGGCCACATCCCTAAAGTTCAGCTGTCCCTGCAATAAATACCACAGTCACCAAGTGGCCACTGGCAGAGTTCACGATGGTCCCCAAGATGATAGGAGTTAATGTCACCAGCCAGACCCAAGACCTGACCTTCTCCAGTTACCTGTTTGTACCATATTTTACTTACCCTCGTGTTTCCACCTTATCTTTTACCTCATTCAAAACCCCCCTGACTCCTGCAAAACAAACGGAAACTACCCAACAAAAGTATGAACTGTCCTGAGGAAGAGCTTAGGCTGGCCCAGTTTGAGCTTAACCCCAGACTCACACCTAAGCAGATGCACCAAGAAGTAACCCATGCAGTGATCTATAGAGTTCCCTTTATTTTAGTATTAAAATCTCCACCCAAAAAGGAACTCAAAGATCATGTACATAACATATAGAGTATGTACAGAAGTGGTTTGTGTTTTTTTTTAAGATTTGACAGAGAGAGACAGTGAGAGAGGGAACACAGGAAGGGAGAGTGGGAGAGGGAGAAGCAGGCTCCCCATGGAGCGGGGAGCCCGATGTGGGGCTCGATCCCAGGACCCTAGGATCGTGATCAGAGGTGAAGGCAGATGCTTAATGACTGAGCCCCCCAGAGGCCTGAGAAGTTTTTTCTTGAGACTCTTGTGTCACCTTTTGCCCAGCTCTACACAAGACCAGACTCCACTTTCTGAACATCCACCCTAACCCCAAGTAACAGGAAATCCTTCCCCTTGCTCTGTCAGTGTCTTATTTGGAACTTAATCCCTGTGAAGCACCCCGCTTTTTTTTTTTTAGGCAAATCAAGTTTCCATTGTGTCACCACCATCGCCCCATCCCTGTGAACTTTCTGTGACTCACCAAGAAGTGAACCCATGTTAGTCCCATTTTATTAGGACAACTTGCTCTGCCTTCAGAGACTATCCTCCTTTGTACAGGAAGATAATTATTAAACCAGTAATAGGCGCTAATGTATTCTCTGGCTTTGAGGTAAGAGGATGACACAGGATCCACAAAATCAGTATAAATACTGTGTCTTCATCCAAAATAACTTGTTAAATGAAGGCATCAACACAGGCATACACATTTTTTATACCGTGTTAACATCATACAGTGTAAGTAGCGTCTGCTTCTTAGGTGGGATGTTTTAGTGGGTTACAAATGTACTTATTAAATTCTAAGAGGGCAGGGGAGATCTTATATACATGCAAATTATGTTCTGGAGGACAAGAGAGCAATAGCCCAAGCGCCAAGGGATACATTTTGAAATAACAAAGAGGTAGAACGCCAAGGAGGAATTCTCAGAGGACTTGGAACAGAAATGTGTGTTTGTTTAAACTGGTTTTCATTTTTTTTATTTGAGAGAGACAGAGAGCACGCTCACACAAGAAAGAACAAGGCTGGGGGGAGAATAGAGGGTCAGTAGCAAAGGGAGAGGGATAAGCAGACTCCTACCTGAGCAGGGAACCCAACACAGGGCTCCATCCCAGGACTCGTGGCACCATGACCCAAGCCAAAGTCAGTCAGTTCACCGACTGAGCCACCCAAGCATGCCTGAGTGGGTTTTATACCAATTATAGATTCTACTGGCAAAGCAAGAAAGACAACAACAATCCTTTCTCATCATTTCCTAGTTTCTAGAGAGCTCCTAACACTTGTTCATAAATTAAGGGAAAATGCGTAATAACCGTCTCAGAGAACAAATACATTATTCTATTTTTATAGGAATATTTTGTCAAACATCCAGTGACATGGAAGGGATCAAGTTTTCACCAAGGTGTTCTGACCTAGAGTCGCTCTAAAATGACACAGAGGTCATTATGCAGAGAGACCATAAAGCAGTGTTCATAGCAGGGGTCAAACCTGAGAAGAACGAGGGAAACCAGAACTGATTCACCCAGCACTGATCTGCCATTGTACATTCAAGGACACATCCAGACATTTAGAAAGTGGTTACACCCAAAGGAAAAGTGACAGAATAGAAACTTGTCATGACGACTACTTTAAGAAACATTTTCAATGATTCGATACATAAATCTTTTTGCCCGTGATGATTTTTGTCTTTTATTCACATTGTCAACACAAACACACAGAATGACAGAAAGGGAACAGTTCTTATTTCTGAGTCTACTAGGATGAGGGCTAGAAGCAAAAAATGTTCACCTGGAGCCCAGAAGGCTGACCTATCGTCTCTACGGTCTCTATGGATGGTTCTAGAACCATCACATAAGGGCAAACTGCTGCATTCGGGTTAGATCTCGTGACTGCCTGTACATCTCAGCTACAATTAATACAGAACTCATTAGCACCAGAGAAATCTTGCAAAAGTAGTACAAGTACACATTCGAAGAAACAGCGATGATCTTACACTCCCTGCACACCCCCACGAACACTAAGCAGAGAACCACCAGGTTCATCACCACCTGGCCAGAAATCAAGAGCACAATGCTTAATCCACTGAGCCACTCAGGCGCCCCAGTTTTTCACATTTTAAGGAGCAAGACTCACTCCCTGGGATTACCCTGCGAATTCTCTGAGTGATTCTGGATCTCTTATCCATCCTGTTTATTTATGCATTTTCTTAATCCTGGGCTGCACAGAGCTGATAAAGCATTCCCGTGGGACATAAATGAAAATGCTTTCCTCCGCTGATATCCCAAGGAAATATTTTCAATACTTACCGGACTTTACTTAATTCAAAGTGGCAACGGTTGGTGCCCTATTGGAACGCAGGTTCTAAGAAGGCAGAGAAGGATCTGGGATACCGGGGAGAAGGGTTCTAAAGACCTAACTTTGAGTATTATTTCTGAAAAGGCTTTAAAAATAGGTACAAATATAAGGAAGAAACAGCAGAGCTACAGAAATCAAGATTCGCAATTTCTAAACGAGGAATTTGCGGAGAAAAGGATGACGTGACCTGTGAATTGGGACTCCCGACTTACGGCGCCCCCAGCCATTTCTGCTTTCGCGTCGTCCTCTAGATTTCTTTCTCACAAGGTTTCTGCGGAGAAATCACAGCTGCGTCACAGGAACTGCTTTTAACATCGCCGACGGAGCCTCTTCACCCGAAACCGGCTCAGCTACCGGCAGGATCCTAAAATGCAGAAAGGGCCCAAATTCCTAGCCTTTGTGTCAGGAGCTATTCAGAAACCAAGAGCTCCTGCTGGGAGAGCAATCCCTGCCTTTTCCTTCTCTGCTTTCAGGGTGATCTCCCCTCCCACAGACGCCCCCAAGTTCGGCTTCAGCGTAGGAACCCTGTTCTCCATGGACCTGACCCTGCAGACTCAGGGAGCAGAGACCCTCTTACCCCTCCAGGAGCCAAAGCCCGCTCTCCACTCGTAAAATACGCTGAAGCCCTCGTGCTCACCACCGGCCTCACTGAGAATCACCTGGAGCCCGTAATTAACACAACAATGTTGTCTCCACCCAAACCGACAGACAGACTCCGAGGGGGAGGCCAACAGATCGGATCCTTCTGAATCTTCCAACCTGAATCTTAGGGAAGCATCTGGGAGGACACCATGCAAAGCAGGGGAACCAAGGCTGGGGCTGGGAGCACAGTTCGAGCCCTGCCTTCTCCACGCCCGCAGTTTCCGGAGACTGCCTCCTTCTCCCTTTATCTGCTACCAGAGGGAGACACCTGACAGACCGAACTTTCCCATAGAAATGCAAATGTCTCCTTCAAAGTAAACACAGGATTTCAGAACTTTTCCTTTATCCGCTGTTTCTTCAAAAATACCAGTCTAAAATAATCTTTAGACCAAGGAAACATATTTTAGGGTGACAAATTGCTCCCCTTCCATAGGTAAATATTTCCATAACTACCTGCCACACAATTTTCCAAAGTGAATGTATGTTTTCACCCTCCAATCAGCAATATAAGAATTCTTTTTTTTCTTTTTTATATGACAGATTCCAAGTAGGCAGAGCAGCAGGCAGAGAGAGAGGAGAAAGCAGGCTCCCCACTGAGCAGAGAGCCTGATGCAGGGCTCCATCCCAGAACCCTGGGATCATGACCTGAGCTGAAGGCAGAGGCTTCACCCACTGAGCCACCCAGGCGCCCCCAATATGAGAATTCTAATTCTTAGCATTCTCACTGAAATTTGGGGCTATACTTTTTATTTTACTCATTCTAGAAAATATTGAGTGCTTTCTCAACTGTAAAATAGGAAAAGGTCTTACTACAGTTGTCCTGGTGCCTGAAAAGGAAACCACTTAAAAACATCAAGTTGAACAAATATCCAAACGGCTGCATCAATGTTTCAGCGAACTCCAGTACAAGCTAAGCAACTTTCTTTGCCTCTCTTCTGTAAACCTCCCCTCTTCTCATCTCATCCCCTCATCAGGATCCTGGTTCCACCTGACAGCATGCTCAACAGGGCTGGCAGCACAGACACAATTCCACTGGAAATCGACCATTATCCAGCACCTCCCTACAAAACCTTGGCCCCTTCCTCTGGGTGGGCTGCAGTCTTCATGGCCCTGACCTGCTGAGGCCTCCTTGGCTGGCAAAGCAATGAAGCTCCGGCTGCCCATGATCCCCAGCTCTGTCTGCACGTTCTGTTCTGGGGCTTGTTAGATCCCCCCCAAAATGGGTCCATGATTAAAGGAGCAAGACTGATATAAAGTGATGGTCAAGCAAAGCTTTATTCCATGCCAAGCATCAAGAATCAGACCGAGGGGCGCCTGGGTGGCTCAGTGGGTTAGGCCTCTGCCTTCGGCTCAGGTCATGATCTCAGAGTCCTGGGATCAAGCCCCGCATCGGACTCTCTGCTCTCTCGGGGAGCCTGCTTCCTCCTCTCTCTCTGCCTGCCTCTCTGCCTGCTTGTGATCTCTCTGTCAAATAAATAAATAAAATCTTAAAAAAAAAAAAAAAAGAATCAGACCGAACGTTCGGGGACGCACCTCTTAGAGGAGAGGGCAAACTTTCTCTGTTGCACAGACTGGCTTTTAAGGGCAAAGGCCATTAGGTTGGGCCTGGCCATGCATAGGTGGCCAGTGAAACTGTAACACACAGAGAAAGCTGCACAGTCATGCTAGGTGACCAACTGAATGACAATTTACCCTAGTAGACATTTGAGCCAGCCTATCACCTTGGTCAGAATTGGCGCCCAAAAGGTGCCCAAAGGACAGGGCCCATACTCCTTGGTAGCTAGGGAGACAGTACGCATCCCCCCACTGATCAGATGTCTCCACTGGCCTGACCCACCCTTGTATTTGAGCTTTGTTACCTGGGGCTGGTTTCTGGGACTTGTTTTTAAGTAAGTCCCCTGGGGGAAGGGGAGCAGGGACAGTTTTAGGGTTAAACAACAAGGTTATTGTTTAACCTTAATGGAAGGCTCTTGGTAAATAGGTCCTTACAGGGCGCCTGGGTGGCTCAGTGGGTTGAGGCCTCTGCCTTTGGCTCAGGTCGTGATCTCGAGGTCCTGGAACGAGTCCCGCGTCGGGCTTTCTGCTCAGCGGGGAGCCTGCTTCCTCCTCTCTCTGCCTGCCTTTCTGCCTACTTGTGATCTGTCTCTGTCAAAGAAATAAATAAAATAAAATAATTTTTTTTAAATTAAAATAAACAGGTCGTTGCAGGCTTAAGTGTGGAGGTCAGTTCACACAACAGAATGAATGTGAGAGGAAAATTTGTTTTCCTCACTCCATTCTCCATTCCTTGGTTTGCTGAATACTTAAAATGAGGTAAGACAGATTCATGAGAAGAAAAAAAAAAATTTCTGGGGCGCCTGGGTGGCTCAGTGGGTTAAAGCCTCTGTCTTCAGCTCAGGTCATGATTCTACCATCCTGGGATAGAGCCCCGCATCGGGCTCTCTGCTCTGTGGAGAGCCTGCTTTCTCCTCTCTCTGCCTGCCTCCCTGCCTGCTTGTGATCTCTCTGTCAAATAAGTAAATAAAATCTTAAAAAACAAATTTCTTAATTATGAGAGCCTGAAAGACATGAGGCTCAAAGACAGGCAACGGAAGCTTGCATGCCACCGTGACTTAAAAAAAGGAGGGAGGGATTTAGAATTGCAAACACAGGTCATAAACTCACAGGAGAATGTAAAGATGAAATCAACCTCGAATAATGCTTTGACCCTCCAGGTAGACAACTCTTGAGGATGTAAAAAGTTAATCTTTGGTGTCCGCAGTCTTTCTGATCAAGGTCCTCCATCTAATCAATTCTTGGTATGTATTACAGACAAAGAAGGTAATTTGTACCTTCTATTTCTGCATACTTGGTACTTTTGGAACCTTTGAGAAGCAGGGCAGAGAGGAGAACCCAGAAGAGCCCGGGGAAGTTGGGACTCCGTAGCTCCTAGGTCAGCCATCTTGGAACACAGGTTTTCCTCATCACTACAGGACAGTTTTCTTCCTCAGTTTACACATGTCCTGGTGATTTACAAGGAAGAAGCTTTCTTATCCTATCTGTAGCCTAACTTCCAGAGACCCATTAACTCAGTTTCCTGAGGCCCTAACATCACCCTCCCCTCCATAAAATTGAGGGAGGCTGAGGCAAAAGGAAAAGTATGTAAAATTAAATTTCTTTTAAACCTGAAACCAAATCACAACGATGTGTGATAGAAGAATACAACAGTCCTCCAGGAAGTTGGCCACTGTCTTCCTATCTGTAGGTCACTGGAGGGAAAAAGAGCCTTTGCTTGAAAATAACCAGGTCCCCATTCTCTCAAGAGTCTTCTTTCGCATATGACAGCCCTTCTGGACACCCCGTTTGTCCTCAACTCCCCAGCTCCCAATTAAATAATCAGTGACACATCAAGAAAATGAGCAGCTCTTTCTGCCTAGGGGTCCTGTCCCAGTGCTTTAAGACCACCGATTTACACCAAAGACATCTCAAGAATTCTTTCTTGGTCATCAGTTCCAGATTCCATCCCACTGAACCTCACCTATATTCCAAAACCCCGTCAAGTGCCATATTGCTTATTGGTGGATGGACAGAGTCATGAGAGCCTATAAGAACGTAGCAACCAGCACTTATCAGCACTCGATAAATCCTTATCATAACTATGCAGGCTGTAAGTCAGCCTTCTGGGATAAAAGTGAGTGTTTTGTTTCTATGTCTCATCTTTTCACCAAGTAACAATTTTCTGTCCTTAAGTTACTTTTTTGTAGCTCCAAGTTTTCTTTAGATTCCACTTCATTTGCACATAGTATTAGTTTCATCAGGAGAATTTCTATTCTCCACTTATATACAACATCGATCAGTCATCCCGGTGTGCTACTTAACCCATCACCCATTGCATCCACCCTCCCACCCACTCCCTAGCCAACCACCCTTACGTTGTTCTCGACAGTTAGGAGTCTGTTCTGTGGGGGCACCCAGGTGGCTCAGTCACTGAGCATCTGCCTTCAGCTCAGGTCATTATCCCAGGGTCCTGGGATCAAGCCCCACATTGGGCTTCCTGCTTGGTGGCAAGGCTACTGCTCCCTCTCCCCCTGCTTGTGTTCCCTGTCAAATAAAATCTGCTTTTTTTAAAGATTTTATTATTTATTTATTTGACAGGGAGAGATCACAAGTAGGCAAGGAGGCGGGCAGAGAGAGAAGGGGAAGGAAAAGCGAAATCCTTCTTGAATATGGTGCTTTCAGTTTGCGGTGTACAGAAATAAGGCATCTGACTGGGAAGATCTCACTATAAAAAACATGGCATGTGATGAAACCAAAGAAATTTGTTACTTACTTGAATTGTATCGTAACCTCATTTTGGTGAGGACTAGTCCTTTTCTGGTTATAAGTCACGGACTCTGAGAGGGTGTGTGATCCTGCTTCTGTTTGTGTGCCTGAAGTTGTTTTTTGGCCAGCAATGGAAATCAGTGCTTCTGATCTGCATCCCAATTTGCAACACTTGGGCTGGACTGTTTCAGGCAGAGATGCTCACTGCCTTTCACTGCTGAACTGCTACTCCAACAAATCCATGCAATGGCGAGAGGCAGAGCCTAGAACTACACTTACTACCATGCTGAGGAAAGGGAGGAAGGTACCGCACAGCAGTGAAGCAGATTCCCTGAAGGATCACCCAACCACACTAGATCTGACCTTGACTAGGGTGATATACATAGGAAATGTGGGAGCAACCACAGCACATGCCTTGCTGATCTGGCCTATTCCACTGTCCAGAAGGCTTCTTCATCTCAAACATCTATTCTACCGTGTGACATCTTAAAGCTGCCCACATGATTCCATCATCCAACAACCTCCTCCATCCCTTGTCATGGATCTAGGCAGGGATAGTACAGTAATCACTGACATCCAACAGTACTAGTCCTCAGGAAGACACAGGAGGTCAATCAAATCATAAGGATAAAGCAGGACCTCCCCACTCCTGAAAAACCCACATTTGCCATTTCCTTTCCCCATGACATGTATTCATCAGACGACACCAGCAAGAGCTGCCTGTGCCTTTGCGGTGATTAAAGGGAGCCACCTCCGGGTCTCTCCCCACACAGGAAAGAGTTCCTCACATTTCCTTTCAATAGGTCTTATCTTTCTCTCGAAGGATGGTGCCTTCCTCAAATTTTACTTAGATTTACATCCCACATCATTCATGTTGGAACTAATACCCATCGGCTTTCCATCTGTCTAATCTCAATGAAGCATTTTCTGAGGACACTCTCTCCATAGCACAGGCAAAAAAGAATGGTTGTGGTGCCTACATAGCTGGAAAGAAAAATGAGGGCGAATACAACTGGAGATCTGGAGATAACTTCTACATCTAGGGAGTCACTTGGGAAACTCGGGACACTTCTCCTCCTCTACATACTAATTCTTCATCTTGAATATTTTCTGTCTCTTCCCTGGGCTACCACATGACTCCTATTGGGATAGATTTCTCTTTCTTATGGGGTATCTATGACACACATAGCATGGTCATAGGCACATGTGTACCTCATAGACATATCAAGATTAACACTCAGTGTAGGACATGGGGCACATGCTTTCATTTGGGTCCACGGTGCAGTGCTAAAGACTCCCAAGTCTAAGTCCAGAATATGCCATTCTGACTAAAAAAGATTTAGGGAAGTCCTGAGAGAGGGGGAGTCTTCTCTATGGGTCATGGGAGGGAAGGCATTGCAAGAAATAGAGATGGGGGCACCTGGCTGGTTCAGTGGGTTAAGGGGTTCAGCTCAGGTCATGATCCCAGGGTCCTGGAGTGGAGCCCCACATCGGGCTCTCTGCTCAGCAAGTCATACTCTCTAACAATTGTACTTACAAAGACACATCGGTAGTGTACTGCCTGCCACCTCCTTTTTCTTAAGAACAATTAGTAAAACCTTCTATATCTAATATTCAGGAAGTTCTTTACTTTAAAACATGGAGCAGTATGTGTTCTGAACACGTACTTCATGGTAACATACATCAATGTTGTAATCATAAGCATCTCCACGGAGATTTTCCTCATATGTTGTATATTATATAGTCCTACATCTTCCATGGAAAATTAGGCATGTGTGTGTCCCACTTAATCTAGCAGGGCATCTAGTATCTTTGATGGAGCAACAATCAGCCACATGGTCTTCCAGACTCAGTAGGGATAAAGGGATTCTCGGTAGAGATTTCAGAGTAAAATAAAATTGTTTGTCACAAATCTCAAATAAGGTCAATGTAAAAAATGTTAAAAAATATACTGAAATTAAACACACGTAAAAGCCTCTCTATGAAATCTCTTGAAACAGAATAGTATATACATTTTCTAAATGTTTGAATTTTCCTTGTAATAACTATTTTCAGAGTAATGTCTGAATTGAGTTCCTTCATTCGTTATAGTTATTGGCATTTGAGTTCAATTAGAAAGTCTTCTAAATATTTGTGTCTTTAAATTTACTTTATTTAATGCACTCTCTGGTGTTTGCTCCGGTGTGTATTAAAATGAAGGTCTTTCCACATTCATTAGTTCCAAGTGTTTGAATCTAGTAAGCATTTTGTGATATTGAGTAAATACTGAATTCCAGAAAAGGCGTGTCTTGTCCACTTTCTTTATATTTTACAGTTCTTCTGCTACATGGTAACTATGACTTGAAGTAAGTTGTGAGTTCGAGTGAGAGGTCGGACACATTCTGTCTATGTGTACAGTTACTCTCCTATATAAAATCTCTGACATGAAGTAAATGAAGAAAAGGCCATAGATATTTTCACACCTACATTATGTCTGTAGATTACTCTCCACTTATGAATTTGGCGATGTCAAGTAAGGTTTGAGGGCCACATACAGGTCTTGCCACATTTTTCACATTCATAAGGTTTCTCTCCAGTATGAATTCGGTGATGTGTAGTAAGTCTTGAGCTGTCATGGAAGGCCTTGCCACATTTGTTACATTGGTAAGGCTTTTCTCCAGTGTGAATTTGGTGATGTTTAGTAAGGGATGTGACCCACATAAAGGCCTTGCCA